AGGACAATACTCAGATATTATGTAGCTTCCTGACTTTGTGGAGTTGATAGTGAATAAATTCATCAATTTCGTTCTAAGGATCACTGTTTTCATCCTAGCTGCCTTGATTTAATCATGTTGATAAAACGTATTGTTTAGGTTAACTTAGTTTACATCGTCGATTTATTGCCAATAGTCATTAACTGACATTTCATAACCTTAATAATTAAGAACTTTGAAGAATTTCTTCCTTATGAAATCAGGCCGGTGTAATTATATTTGATATATTAAAAGGTTTGTGTCGTTTTTATTAATTTAAGGTCACCAATAGTCGACAGTGTACCAATACATGACATCATTTTCAATAAACGAAAATAATAAGATTTCAGGTCATCCTAGACCGCAAAATCAATGATTTTTGGTATTTATATTTATCTGCATTGCTTTAGTCTTGCTGAAATCATTACCTAAATAATGGGTGGCAAATTAGGAAGGTCCCTGACTGTCCACTTAGGTTTTCCCATTTTCTCCTTGACTAATTAAATTTATCCCTTATTTTATAATTAGATTAACCTTTGGTTTTATTTTTTCTTGGAGTGTATTTAGATTATGTTTTATCTATTTTTAAGTTATTTTGTAAAATAAATTGGAAATTTAATGTGTGTAAGCTATCGGAGCCTTTTGACAGTAGCTGACAGGCCTATACACGCATAAATTCATAAATACAGTTTATATAACATGTCTTACAGACGGTCCCATCCTCTTCTCTCTCGTTAAAAAAAAATATATATATATATAATGAATACGGTTGTGGATTAAATACAAAACAAACATAGATTTTCATGTTTCCAAAAATAGGTTCTTGCAGGTGCTTAGCATTTACCGATAAATTTAAGTAGGGAAGAAGTTAGTTTTTTAATAAATTGTTGTTAATAACTTGTTTAAAATAAATAATATTAAATTTAAACTCTTTGTTTCGTATAATTACATCCTTGTTTTAATCCTTGTCATGTATAGGAATATTTCAAATCAAACAGCTGCAGGTGTAACAGAACTATTTAAATTTGAATTTTAATTTTTTTTTAATTTAAGTTGATGTTTCATGAATTTAAAACGTGCTTTGGCAAGTTGAGAAATGTATCTATGAGATGAATCGATTAATATAAATCACATTAATAATTAAGTTTCTACGCCTAAAAATTCAAAGAAATTTCCTTAAGCATGTCAGCTACTGCTGTTGTATTTACCCTTCAGTGTTTTTGTATCGATTAATAAAATTTAAATTCACAAAACATATTTTAGAGTTAACCTATATCAAAAATGTACTTAGTGAATTTTTGCAATAAACCGACTGTATTCTTCATAGTAAAATAATAGGATAATAAATATACGCATAATAAAATAGCAGGACAAAGACAAAATTTCCTGTTCTTATTTTTGTTTACTTATTATCTACCTTTTTCATTTTCTGTAAATTACAAAATGTTTCATATTTCAAACTGATACTGGTGATACGGTTGTAAGGTTTAAACTTATGCCATGTACGGGTGAATCTAGGAGAGGGGGCTTTCGGGCTGAAGTTCTGTCCCCCTCCTCCCTCAAAATAGAAAAGTATAAACATGTCTTATAAAACAAATATTAAAAAATTATCTCTAAAAGTATTATTTCTCGTTCCATTACATTTTAATGGGACTTCAATAATCACTTCAACACCATTTCATATAGTTAATTAGTTTCTTTCTTTTACTCCCAAAGTAATTATCATTATATATATAAAAAAAAATTTCGGACCCCTCTTCCCCTCAAAATTAAATCCTCGATCCGCTACTGATGGCGTGCATACCAATGTAGTCCTAATCGCCGTTACTCTTACAAAGTTTTCATATCATTTTGACCGTTCTTTGTATTTCTTGTATAGAGGTTATACAGGTTACAGCTGTACTTTCAAATGTTTGTATATATGGAGTTAAAATATATAAATAAATAATATAACTCCAATCCGAAGACCAAATTCATTTTCCGTGAAGGTCATTATGTTGAACGTAATTTTAACTTTGCATAAGTGTCGTACGCAGGACGTTATCTAGATCCTTTTAGAATCAAAATGGTATTCGTGACTATTTGGTAACAATTCACTCTGCATCAATCTGATACAAATGGCAGTCTAACTTTTAAAGGTAAACATAGATTGAAGCTAATATTATAAATGCAATAGATAACGCTTTCTGCTGGTAAAAAACTATGAGTAGTTACGCTAATTTGTATTTTTTGTTACCTAATTATTGTTAACATTCCCTATGAAGCCCTAACCTTCGTTCCCTCCCCCCTCCCGAGATTTCACAAGTGTTGGCTGTTATTTTTTACAAGAATAAACACGTTTTAATTTCCTTGATCGTTACTATCACCACAGCGGTAATGTTCTTATGTAGGGGTTGCCTTCAGTATTCCACTCTTAATAAATGGGAGAACTGAAAACTAAGGGCCCTACTCTTATGCACCAACTCGATAGATATCAACAAGTTTACCTATATTAGAGTATTACTGCTTAACTGAAGAGGTATTTTCCTGTAGGGCCAGCTAATTACTTATTAAGTAAACTTTTACTTAAAGGTAATGACTAAGAAGCAGTAGCGGATCAAGGATTTGATTTTTTTTTAACTGTTGTTACTATGGAAAAAAAAGGGAAAAACGATTCATTACTTATATGGAATATTGTTTAAGTGGGCCTTAAAGGCTGAAACACAAAATACAAAACAAAAACCATAATTACAAGAACAATAATACTTTTAGAAATAAATGTGTTATATGTTTTCTTGGCACTTGCTAAAATGTTGTTGAAATAAATGCGTTATATTGTGATTATTGTAAGTATTTTAGCTTATATACATATATATATATATATATTATATAAACAAATATGGACCATAAAGACTGATGTATGGAATTTGAGGGGGCTCCAGCCCGAAAGACCCACTCCTTCTTGTCGATCCGCCAGCACTATAAAATACAGAGCATCCTCAAATGCGTTTATCAAATACACTTGCTTGATAATAAATCATTAGCGCAGGCTTTCCATTCTGGTTGGGGAAAGGGGGCGATGGATCTCCCTCCTCCCTCCTCCCCCCCCCAAAAAAAAAATCTTGGGAGTTTATATCGTGTATAAAAATTACAAGTGATAATTAATGTAATTATTGAAAAACGAACAATATAATACTGTATAAAAAATAAATTTATGTAGGTATATGTTATTTTATTTTTTACGGATATATTTAAAAATATGTTAACAAAGCAATTGAATTACACACATTACGTATTTTTATTTAAAGGTTTGAGGCAGGGAGATGATCTCTCAATTTTTCGAGATTTCAAATTTGCCGTGAGAAATGTGATAAATTATTCACGTAAAAATGGGATGAAAAATGCACATGAATGAATCATTAAATTTTAGGATATATTGCTACATGAAATTATCTTTTGAGTCTAAACTGAAATTTCAATAATAGGACCATAAGTGACAGTGCTCAGAAGTAAACATAAATTAATGTTTTCTATAAATTTCTTGGGACTTTTTATTTTATTGAATTATTTTTACATCCTTCACGTTTATATGATTTAAAAAAATTGAAATTTATGCAAAAAACTAAAGGAATGTATTTTTTTTCCTCACGAAAATAATTGAATGTCAGTTAACGTTTTTGTGATCTTTTTATTACATGTTTCATACTTTTTTTCACTACATGAAATCCTGACCTCAGTTATCAGCATAGACCTACCACCACAGGCGGATCTACGGGGATGGGAGGGGCTTTCGGGCTGAAGCCCCCCCTAACTATATCTTAAACTATTATTGTTCGTTTAATTACATTTAATAGGACTTCAAGAATAACTAAGACACAATGTAATATGGGTAGTTAGTTTCTTTCTTTTATTTTTTTTCAAATTAATTATCGTTATATATATGAAAAAAAATCCTTCGGGCTTAAGCCCCCCCCCCCAAAAAAAATTAAATCCTGGATCCGCTAGTGCCTACCACTCCTTTCAGCTTCCTATTTTTCCTTTCATATTTTATTTTTGTCATTAATAAAAATAATAAAGAGGAGAAGACTAAGATAATCGACCATTTTAAGCCACTTTTCATTTGAAAACACACTCATGGACCTTATTCATACCATACATTTTTAGAGTATATCAACAAAATTTTGATTTGTTTGTTTTAGCGCTCCCTCCATTTCCAGTGATCTTTGATTATTTAATTTTATTTTGCCATAATATTTAGTGTTGACACCCTGTTTAAGATACAATTAGGCAATTGTGGAAAAACATACTCTCTGATTTATTTATAATTTTTTTTTTTAAAAGATTATCACTATTATAAGTGATATATTTTCTTATTGACTTAAATGCCTTTTTATATAACAACATATTCTGAATTAGCTAAGACAATAAGTTAATAAATGATTTACTGGGGGGAGGGGATGGATCTTATTTAAACTAAAAGGAGTACCTCTCTCCTTTTTTTAAATATCTTTTTTAATTTGTTATATTTTGGTATATAAAAGGTAAAATGTTTATCTCAAGTGTTATTACTTTCTACAGTAATAAAATTTAAAATAAATCCCACATTAACAAATCAGTTTGTTTATTGGATTATTAAATTGTTATTTCACCGCATCACATTCTATCTCGCATCCACATACCCATAAAATGACAATATATACTGGGTATTGTGTGTATATATATTAAATTGTTTTAATTAATATTAATAACAGTATTTATATTTTAAATTTTACCATTTCATTCAAAGGTGATTATTTACTGATTGAATTATTATAAAAGATATTATTCATAATAAAACTAATCAAATTGAACCAATATATTATCTTAATCCTGCTATATACCAGCTTATTTTATGCAGTTTTGAAATTTACTCTTAAGTCTTCCTTATATTCTTTCAGTTAAAAATTATACTATTAGTTTATTAATGATTAATTCTGTTAACAGAGGCGTGGAGGGAGGGTGAGATGAGGAGTGGGGGGGAGACGCCCCCCCCTGAGCGGGCCGGCCTGGTGAAGTCATGGTACGGCTATGGGGCCCTAGCTGAGGAGGAGGAGTCCACTGCCTCTGCATCTCCTGCACAACAGGCCAAAGGTACCAGTCTATTATTTTAAGCTACCTACTTATTTGTTCAAATTTGTTTTTGTGAAGTAATTGGGTTATTAATTGAAGAATCAAACTAAAAACTACTTAACTATTACAACCTTGAAGTAGAAAGAAGCCATAAGTTTATTGCCTAGATTTTCAAATTAGTATCTTGCCAATATGGTTCATTAATCAAATTCACTTATTTCTGTTATTTACAAAAAAACATATAGTCATCACCAAATGGGATGACTTTTATTCTGATGTTTGGATAGTATGATGAAGCTGCAAAATGAAATCATTCAAAATTTATGAACGAAGAAAAAATGAATATGCAGTTCATTTCGATTAATTATTAATGCAACGGTTTTTCATTTTTACTGCAAGTAAAATTAATCAATCATAAAGGTCTGGTGCCAAACCATTCTGATATTAATTTGAGTCAGGATTTATTTTTTTAGGATTTAAGGGAGTTTTGAGGAGTGGGTCAAGATTTTAATATCAAGAATAATATTTTTAAAGATTTATTACATCTAGGTGATAGGAAAAACATATATTTAAAGTTTCATTGTAATTATTTGTTTATATTTACTTGATTACTATTACTTTGCTTATTTTAGATCGGATCAAATGGCGATCAAGCTTGGCTCTTGGTTCGATCCTCAGTCGCTGGTCGAGGTCGAGGATAGACCTTGGCAGTACCGAAGGCATGAGGAAGTGCCATACAGTACTGACCCTATCTCAAGAGCCTATGAAACCTGTAAACAGGCTCAGGCATGGCAACTTTGTTTGTTCAAGGTAAGGTAGATCAATTGAATATATAAATTTTGTAATTGGACATGAATTTTTGTCCTGAAATCATGTACATATTTATAATGAATGATTGAATTGATATTTTTATGATTTCATATACTGAATTTTGGGCATATATTTTATATCCCAAATACATCCAGTACTTCAAATATATCAATCAATACAGTAGCATAAATAGGTGATAAATAGTCAGGAGACAGTCATTTCAAGATTTTTATTGTTGCCGACAATCGTCAAAGTACCAATCATCCAATCAAGTCGTACTTGAACACCTTCAGTGATGGTAACATGACTGATGATGACCCACATGATTGGGTTAAAACATCGGCAAAAATAAAAATCTTAAAATGACTGTTTTGACTATTTATCACCTTTTATATGTAGAATAGTAAAGTAATTTCCTTCAGTAGTATAAATATAGTCACTCAAAGCACAAAATACTATGCTTAAAAACTGCATTAATTGATTCTTTCTGGAATATACTGTATATTAAAAAAATAAACGAACAGAAAGCATATAATTATAAAATCAAATCAGAGAAAAAAAATCATTAAAAGCAGTGGACATACATTTTACTATTTGAATGACAATAAATGTACTTTATTAACTATATATTGGAAAAAAAGCTACAGATTAAACAAATATTGCATTCAAACCATTATTCTTAAACAATATAGGTAATCAGTTTATTTTTTGTTTCAACTAATATTTAATAATCATTATAAACCAACTACACTCATCTCTGAGAAGTTCCAGAGACTGGAGGCCAGGCAAACAGATTTGTCGGACCCCTATGCTGCTAATGGAGCTAAGGGTCAGAAACTCCTGCTCATGTCACTCATGTCAGCACAATAATATAAATAACCAAATAGCTGAACTTCTGGATATAAAAAATTATAGATGTTTCCTTGAAGTTTATTGCCCAGATATGGAAGACTAGGTTCCTGAATATTTTAGGAAAGAAGGCTCGATTACTAGACCCCATAATAAGATTTGAGACGAGTAATGAGGATCAGGACCCTAAGACACAGTTTGAGAAAGGGGATATCTATAAAAAATATTTTCCATACTTACAGAAAAAGTAGAGGAATTTGGCTCGACAGAATTTTTGGTTAGGCCACTTAGGTTAGAAAGTGGGAAAACTCTTCATCACCCCTCATATTAATCACCTCACTCATTTGGATTTATCAGTGGATAAAATATAAAAGCTACTCTACACAATAGCATTCAAAGAGTACTTGAATACCTTCAGTGCTCGAAACATGCCCTGATGATGACCCACATGTTTGGGTTGAAATGTTGGTTCCAATAAAAACTTTATAATGACTGCATTCTAAATATTTATCACACATGATAATATATTCATACTATAATAATATGGATTTTCTTATCCATCAATGAAAATTAAATTTAAAGAAATAAATAAATTGAATATAATAATGTATTAAAATATAAATTGGTGCAAACTTATTCTGTAAACCCGTACTAATCCAAGTATAGGTACCACCAGTAATGTGATTACTGAGACCTATATGGTTGGACCTTTCATGAAACATTTTCTCTGATTGGTACTGATATATGCCTATCACTAAAATATGGTATTCATGACATTTGAAGATAAGGGAACCCTATTTTTGCTACAAAATCTTTTTTGCACAATATATGTGGGATAAAATTTTTAGTTCATGTAAATGAATGATATTATGATTTCTTTTTACATAAACTAGCTCTTATGTAAATATTAATCTTAGTTTGAAAAAAAAAGCTTTAAAATAATTTCATTAAATTCTTCAAAAAATTATTAGAAAAGAAATAGAATTCAGATGAAATTAGATTGAAAAACACTTGTATAAACGAGTAGGAGTGACAAAACATGTTAGCTATAACACTTAGGTGAAATGTTATGCATCATCACAGCTCTAAAAATAGACAAGAGGCTCAGGTGGACTATGCTAGTTTGTTAATGAGTTCAGAACGGCTATTTGAGCCATAATGACATCTTATTATAAGATTAAAAACAGACCTGTCTTGATATTGCAATTTTAAAATCGTATTTTAAAGACGGCCAGCTGGCTTAGTTCCAACAACTAAGCTGTGATAGTAACTTATTCATTATGATGAATCAGAGGAAAAATAGTTCTAAAAAAAAAAGGTAGGCTGTAACTTCTAGAATTACAAAGATTTTTAATTTATTAAACAAGTTATATCATAAAACCTATTATACACTCCCAAAATTGTGTGTTCCTATGAATCAAAATTGTTTGTAGGTATGACATATTTTTCATAAGTATAGTATGAATGTGTCATTATATATTTTAAACTATTCTTTCTGCTTTCAGATGTTCCTCTCTCTTATCGATGGCCTCATCGTCCAAATACTCAATCACAGCAGAGGGGAACTATGTGCAGGTTGGAAAGCCTGAACCTGCTCCTACAAAAATATTATGCAAGCTCTGCCTCTCTCAGGTGAACCTGCCATCGACCTGGACTCTTCAATGTGGCTGCACCTTTTGTACTGAGGTATTTATCATAAGAGAGCATCTGTATAGTTGCTGTGAATATTGCTTGAGGTAGCACTCACTATTTCGACTAAATTATATGAGTATATATATCTAGCCATCCAAATAAAATAAGAATATCAGATAATTTCATAAAGTAATATAAGTTTTTAAATAAATTAGTTTAGGCTCTATTAAAATGTTGTATACACTTCATCAGCCACTTGCTAATTCCAGTATAAATTTATTTTAGCTTGATTTTTTTAACCTAAAAAAAAATTATGATTTTTTCTTTATTTATAACTTATACAAATCTACTGCCTAAAATATTTCTGAGATTGTTATATTTTAAGTATTACACTCTTATGTTTAAAATATTACACTAAGTATTTAGCTCATGTTTCAATCATAAGTATTTTTATGATACTGATAATTGATTTTAGTGGTAACTGCTACAGGGGGTAAGTTCACACAAAGTTTCTAAAAGACTCATCATTTAAAAAGTAACAGTTATAGATAATGCAGAATAGTTTATTTACAGTAAATTATTTCACCGATTCAAAAAAGAAAGTCTGAGATTCACATTTTACAATCTTTAGTGAATTATCAAAGTACATTTTTGAACATAATTGAATAAATAAATAATAATAAATAAAAAATAACTTATATTTCTATGCACTAATCCAAAATAAAGTATATGGCACACACACTAGTCTTACAACATAGTTCTGCATTTACCCCAAGTGTTATACCAAGGGAACAACAAGCATGTGCTTGATAACTAGAAAACTGTGAAGAAAAATGTAAATCTCAATATATATTATGAAGAAGAGCTTCTGAAGATTCCATTTACCACAAACAAAAATTTAAAGAAGCATTTTAGTGGATAAATTCTAATACTATAAATACTATGAGATCCAACATAATTAAGAGTTTGGTGCTGATTCCATGATACAAAATGATATTTGATTTAACTGCTACATAGGTAATCCTAAAATTTCATCAAAAGTGGTTAAGTATGTTAGAAGAAAAATCCTTACAATGGCAGTGATCTTATTAAGTATTATCTTTTTGATGATCTACGAACATTAGAGGGTTGAAGAAATATTATATGTTGGAAATATATACTGCCATTCTTTTAGAAATTTTTAATTCTCTTCATATGCATTAGGAAGCATTGTAGTATTTAGTTAACATGGAACATTGTCGATTTTTCAATAAATTTGTTAAACTTATAATTTTGTTTTCTTTTAGTGCATGAGGGCATATGTTGAGTTTGAAATTGCTGAAGGTGCATATGAGATCTCATGCCCTGATGCATTATGTGAGGCCCGTGGAGTCCTGTCGCTTCAGGAAATTGAGAATCTAGTCAATCCTGATACTATGGAGAAGCATAAAAAGTTTAGGAGAAATAGAGGTAAGTCATCTATCTATCAGTTTCTTTTGCTACCAATATTATTAGTTATCATTACAATATAATACTTTAAAAAACTTGAGTATAATCTAAATATTGTTCATTATATAATTCTTTTAAGTTTTGTTTGCTTATTTTATTTTTTTATGTGTAGAAGTGGACCAGGATGTACGGTTGGCCTGGTGCCCATCAGCTGGCTGCGAAACCGTTTGTTCCGTCTCACCGGGTCCCTCCAGAGTGTCATGTCCAACCTGTCGACAGGAGTTCTGTTCACTGTGCCGTGGCCCCTGGCATCCATCTGGCCCTTGTCCACAGGCCATTCCTGGTCCTCCTGGCATTCCCTTTGACTCAGAACTCATCAAATGCTGTCCCATGTGTGCTGTACCCATTGAGAAGGATGAGGGCTGTGCACAGATGATGTGTAAAAGGTGTAAGCATGTCTTCTGCTGGTACTGCCTTGCTTCTCTTGATGTAAGTTAATATAAATATTCTACTTATTTTATGTGGTAATAGTAACATTCATAAATGATAAATCTGTAGTTTGTTCATTATAAAACCATTATCTTTTATATTTTTTCTGGTATGAGAGAATTATTTGTTAATTTTTTTAACAACAGATGCTTCTATTTTAATTTTGAATTGGATTTTGTAATATCATAATAAGGAGAAATTGTTAGCTAAAATGAAGCTCACTAGCATTTCATTATTCTGTCTACTATCTGGCAATACCATTTTCTCCACTTAGCTTAGTTCTGAATATATTTTATGAAGCTTTAAAATAATAAAATATTTTTTAGTAACTATATCTCAATTTTATATTCTGTATCATTTTTTATGAATACCTTATAACCTTATTTTTAAGATGGAATTTGGAAACTATAAAGTTGCTATTTAACTTGTTATTGGAATAGAAAAATTATATTAAAACAAAATACTATGAAAAAGTAAAAAGGTTTCCAACAATACAGAAACTATAAAAAGTAAAAATGGGTACACAGTATAGTATTCTGCTAATAGTAATTGTTGAACATTTTATCATATTTCAAGTGATGTATATAATTTTTCATAAAATGTATACTTTTTGAGTTATTTTTCATTTTATTTTTTCGCAATAATGACTGTCTAAGCATATCAAGAATATCATTTCTTAGCTTTCTTATTACCTCATATTCTCTTCATTTTCTCACTCATGTCTCTCTTCTGAGTTACATGCATACAAAATTTCCTTTTTGTAATAATTTTTCTTCCTGATTTTGATCAGGGAAGCGCTGTGTATGAGAAGTGTAAAATCTTTAATGATAACACTCTAGATAAGTTTCATCATTTCATCAAAAGTTAGATTTTTGGTATTAAATACTGTGGAAAAAATTTTTTTTTTCACAACTATTAATACACAATATCTGATTTGGTATACAGACATCGGGTACAGTGCCAGCCTTAGACATTCGGTGCCCACCAGGCAATGACGTCATCTCTCCCTTCCTAAAAAAATTAAATTTATTTCTTAAGCAGTTTTATACTAGTTAATATTTTAAAATATATTAATTATTTTAATTTTTGCCGAGGTTGTCTTCAGGGCGTAGGATGTGGCACTGCGGGAGGCAGTTGAAAGGCAGTGTTTCAACTGCCTCCCGCAGTACCACATCCTACGCCCTGAAGACGACCTGCAAAGTGGGTCGAAACGTCGGCAAAAATTAAAATAATTAATATATTTTAATTTTTTATTTATTTGACCGCACCCTCGACTAACTCCTTCTCATATTATATCAACGGTCAACCATCTCTACATCATTATGTAATATTTTAATTTTTCATTCAATATTCCTTTAATACAGTTGCTTTATTGATAGGCTAAAATTAATTCTTTTTAGACATTTGTATTTTTTTTTTTTAATTTATAACAAGTGGTGAGCCCCCCAAAGATTGGCCAGCGCCCCCAACGGACACTTTTCCAGGTTTAAGGCCTAAGGCCAGCGATGATCTGGCATCAAAACCCTACAAAACAAAAAAAAAGGATCAGTCAAGTCACCCAATTTGGGACCCAGGGGACTTTGAAATATAAAGATCTATTGAAAACTTGAAACTGAAAATTTAGTCACATTGCCATACCTTTCTCAGCTATCACAATTAACTTTATTGGTTTAATACCAATAAATTACTACTATTTCTCATTTTTTTCTATTTTTTTAGGATGATTTTCTGTTGCGGCATTATGACAAAGGACCATGCAAAAACAAACTTGGTCATTCAAGAGCCTCAGTAATTTGGCATAGAACACAGGTCATTGGTATTTTTGCAGGATTTGGAATACTTCTTCTCGTTGCTTCCCCTTTATTGTTATTGGCGGCACCCTGCATTGTCTGTTGTAAATGCCGTGTCTGTACAGGAGGACCCAAACTTAATCCTGAAGATGAGGAGTCTGGTTTTTGAATAGTAAGTTTATTAGATTAGAAAATTTAAAAAAAATTAATTGATTATAATAGAATGTTTCTTTCTCTTAAGTTGGGGAGCCCACATACATCAATGACACATTTCATGCTTTCTCTTTCACTAACTCCCATTACGTTACTTTACTCTTGAAACTTCTAAAAAATAATACTGAACTTTCCCAATAGAAGCTATTATTTAGCAGTCAAAATGACTTATGAATCCCTTTTTGAAATATTTTATTCAAGAAGTTAGATCTTTAGGAAATGGAATGTTTGAAAAATGTACAACAAAAGATCGATTTATGGTAAAATAATTTAAGTTATAATTGATGAGCTAACATAACTGTGCAAGCGTTCTCACACTAAATATCTATCCTTTCTTCTCCATAATACATTCAAAGTACCAGCGCTATTCGGGAAACAATTTTATGCATATGAAAGTTTATACAACACATTGGTACCCTAACACACTGTTGGTATAACTACATATGTTCTAATGATTGTTGAACAACAGTTTAACAGTTAAGCAATACGATAAAATTCAGCCCATAAATTTATAGTAATCCAGCATTGTACTCACTGAGACATTTCTGTGGGTGCGGAAGAGTAGAATCCATGGTTTATATAGTTCTCTCCCTTATTAAGAGTGAAATAAAAATAACCAGTGCAATGTTTTATCAATCAATAAAATTAGAATTTGTTTAAAACTTTATGTCTACTTCAAAACCTTTAAAACACAATTTGTGCCATCTTACCAATATCAGATCCAGCTACTTTTTTCACTGATATTTTTGAAAGAAACAGTACAATTTTGGATCAACATTCAGGTTTGTTATGCTCTCTTCTCTGTAAGATTCCTTTTCTTTTAATACTGCCGTATTATGTATAGTAGTTTATAACAGTTTTCTGATTTAAATGTTCTTTTCAAATGAATTAAACATAAAAAAAATGATAAGTGTAAAATAATAATGATGATAAACATAGAAATAACATATTAAGTCTAAAAATTTTATAAAGGAATAAGCAGAAAATAATAAGATGTAGTGATATCCTTGGAAACACATTTTTTATAAAGGAGTATATTAATTTAAACAACCAACATTTTTTTTTTTTTGTTAGTTTGATTTTTAGACTGTAATACTGTAAACTTTAGATGTTTTTTCTTAAAATATAAAATCCACCATTTTGAAATATTGACTTCCTTTTACCTAGGAACTAGGTAAAAGTAAGGTACCCAAGTAGGTATATTACCTATTCAGTTGTATAGTTTAATAGTTGTTTAGGTAATTTTACTTGAAACTACAGAAAGTATATTTAATGCTCATATCTTAATATTAATTGTATTAATTATTATAATTTAAAAAAAATTAAAGTTCCTTTTAGATACTTGTTTGATATAATTTTATTTATTTTAGGGAAAACATTCTTTAGTGAGGCTCATCCGTAAGACAAGACTGCGTTGAAGTAAAAAAAAAGGAATTGTTGTTATTAAATAATCTTAATGTACTTCTTGTTCTTAATATGTTAGTTTTCTCTGTTAGTTTTATATTCCATATAATGAAATTGCTTCCTTTTAATTATTTTTTCCTAGATATAAGATTACTGTAATGTACTTTTATGTTGCTGTGATTTTCATTATTTCTGACTCAGATTTAAACATTTTTTCCTTATTTATTTGCTTTTACTTAAATGACTAATGAAGTATTATTAACTACATACATAGTAAATATTATTGTTGGTATAAACTAAATTAAAAGTTTTCTACTACCGAGTACTTAAAATGTTTAAATTTCTGTCACTGTAGCCTTTTAAGCTTTAATGTTGCTGTTCGAATAAATAAATTTATAGTGTTTTTTTAGGCTGATTTCAAATTATGCAATGTTCTTAGAATATAAGAATTTATTGTTAATGTCTTGTATAACTTAGGAGAGAACTATTTATGGAAACTACTGGAAATTGCAACCAAAAAGTAGAGTTGGATCTCAGAAAGGGCTACTTAAGCAAGGATAGGGTTTTGTTTCTGTTTAAAAAAAAATTGTTATAATTAATGAAATAAAATAATAATAAAAAAAAAGAAAAGAAAAAGTAATGAACTGTTGTAAATGGCTGTGAACTTGAACATTTCCGTTTTGTTTTATTTGTTACTTCATCTTTTTTTTTTTTTTTTTTCTTTCCTCTTTGTGTCATTTTTCAATGGTCGAAAAATTATTTTTTCAGGTTTATGTTTTATTTCATTGGACGTGGATGATTTGATTAGAGATTAAATGATTTTTAAGTAGATATGAAGTGCAAAAACTATTGATTTTTTTTTTTTTTAATCTTTCCTCACTGCCCTTTATAGTCTTCACGATAATTGCTGTTATCTGGAAATGAGCCCAGATTCCAACTGTAAATAGTTGATAACAGTGGTGTATGTGCTAACTTTATTTTTATAATTAATGATTAAAAAGAAACTGTTCACTAGGAACCTCCTTAGTTGCCCAATTGATTATGTGGTCAAAGAAATTTTATAAGCCTGGTTTTATTTTTTACATTTCTCTTGTTTTTTGTTGTATATATAAATTTTTTTTTCAAATTATTTCAAAAGTAAATGTATAATATTTGGAGTTGTGATAATGTTATATAGCTCAAGATGAATGATGATAATTTTATTTAATCATATCACTCCAACTATGAACAGATAAAATAGCTTAGTAAATATGTATTTGTACTTATATGAAGTAAACTTTAAATATAAAAATATATGTTACCTTATTTTTTTTTCATTTATATTATTTTCAAATTCTATAATTGTTCAGTGAGACAAGAGGTTGACTTTGAAGTGGGATATACTCAGGGCGATAAAGCATCAAAAAGAAACGTCAATATTATACAATTAAAAATAGTCATTTACTAAAAAAGACTTATTAATATAATAGTGCTGAGGGGCAACCGTTACCTAGAGCTAGTCTAAATTATTTTGGTTTAAATAAGTGTAGCATTTTGTAGGTTAGTTCGTGTTGATATTACATTTTCTTTTTCTATTCAAATTTCAAGCTAAATTGAGGAATATTTATGAATTTCTAAAAAAAAAAAAAAAAAACTAATATAAATATCGTAGACACCAAAATTATCCTTGTGTAACACCAATTACTGACATTTTATAAACTTGTAGAGCTTCAGATGTATATATGTAATTATATATTTACAGTTGACTCTCCCTTATTAAGTTTTATTTGAGTGGCATTAAAAAAAAATATAGTTAAATTATTTCCTAAATGAAACCAAATTAATATATGTAGACAAATACCAAATTTCCATCATTTGTTGCAAAATAAAAATTTATTAGCTATATGCACTCTATAAGCTATGTTTTAGAATCTATTATTTTTCAGAGTTAAAGATATACAATTAATAAATTATAAACTTTTTTTTTTGTACAATTGCTTAGTTCTATTGAGATTATATTTAAAGAGAGTTAGTACAATTGAGATTATAATATTCAGTTCCAAAAAATACTTCTGTAATACTGTAAAAATAGTAATACTTCCAAAATATTAATTTAAAAATAGTGTACTGGTGTATTTCATTAAACAATTTTTTAACTAAAACTCATTTTTATTAAATTTATCAACTGTAGGTACTTATTTAAGAAAAAGAAAAGCTTGCCCTCATAGCCATTTTTCAAATTTTAATCTTGTTTCCGAATAAATGACTTTTGTAGTTAATATCCACAATTTCATTTTAAATATATTTTTTCCTGGAATTTTTAGCCGCCGTTTCCTTCAAAAGATTTACTGGTCTTCATTGATATTTTTGGCTAGTTACCTTAATAATGAAATATTTTTTTTTTTTTTTTATACAAAATATGCTTGTACATGAATATTTAATTTTAGAAAACAAAAGAATAATCCTTATCTAAGTTTGATAAAAAAAAAATTATAGTAATAAAATGAAAGATCAAAACATTAGTTGACAAAAAATTGATCACAAAATAATTGTGAAATATTTACACAGAAAAAAAATGTATTAATAAAATGTGTGGAAATTAACTAACAGATATTCATTAAAAAATCAATAATTTCCTTTGGTTTGTAAAAATAATATTTTGTGCTACACAATATAAAATATCTCTGTCAATTGAGGTTTATATTTTCTCTCTTTGATATACTTCATTAGGACCTTTACCAGATGGTTAATAATAAGATGAGAGAGAGAGTTTACTATTCGTCTGTGTATGTATATATACAAAATTTAGGATGCATTTTTCTCTTCTGTTTTGGAATTCAATACATTAAGCGGGTGGAGCCCCTTATGCTTTATTTTATTTTTTCCTCAACCTAAAATAGGTTACTTAATTTTTGTTTTAATGTAAAATTCTAACATTTATGGTAGGCTTATGCTAGCTATTTGTAATTTGAAGATATTATCTATTTTAATTCTTGCTGCTGATGTATGGACATTGCCTTGTAAATATTATTTTTTTAAATATCTCAAGCTAAGGAATTAGTTATGTCAATTGATTGAATATTATTACAAAATAATCTTTGTTTGATTCAACAAATCTATATAAGGAATTAATACTTCTTTACTATTGATTAAAAATGTACTTATTTTGAAAATATTCTGTTAAAATAATTCTAAAAAGTTAAGTTTTCATATTTTGTATATTTGATGGAAGGTAGGGGTATTTCTGTGAATAAATGTATATAACTTATGTGCAATTTTGTTTTAGTCAATTTGTCAGCATAACTGTAAATATTTATATTTGAAATATATGATTTTATGAAGAAGATTAGTAATGTTAAATACAGCTAAATAACTTTTTTTTCATCATTATGCAAATACTGTCTTTGAGTTAGATTATAATATAATACAATAAAAATTAACATGACAATTTAGAAAAGTTCTTTCTCTCTAATTTATACTTATCTGATTTAATTAATGCTATATAATATTTTATGATTTGGGGGAATCTGTTTCCATTTCTTAATGCCCACACTGATATAACCCATTATTTTAAAGATTTTTCAGGATTTCAGTACATTGTATAGAAGAAACCTGATTTTGGGAGACCATTCTTAAATTCATTTCGCTGTTAAGTAAATTTGCTTTTTGTATTAGGGTTAGAAAATTGATCTTTATTTGATAAAAATATATAATTTTCTTCCTTTAATTAACATTTCAAATAAAAAAATCGTATAATTCAATATTTTCTGTATTTTTAGTAGCTTGTAATTGATATTAAAGAACTTAAAGGAATGGGGCAACCGAGTGGTAGGGCGGGCGCTGAGCTTCCAATACTCAAGGTCCCAAGTTTAAATCCTGGCTCATGGCAGAACAGAAAAATTATTTATTCTGTTTCCTCTATCATGGGACGACCCTGGGATCGGAAGACCCTCCTGTGGCACACCCAGGAGGTTATAAAAGGCAGAGGGAAAAACCTGGTGGTTGAGCGTGATCTCAGTCAAATCACCTCTTTGCACAACCGTGGTCCAAGAAATACAGTACTTTTCCTGAATACTACTGAACCCAAGACCCTTCATGGGTTGTATTATATCACAGTTCTTGGTGATTTTTATGGCTTTCGAAATAATGTTGTCAAAATTATCATTTTTTTTATTTATCTCAATATATACATAAAATATTGAAGTGCCAATTGTGTGCAAAATTTTAGTTTTTATGATAAAAAACAGGAATAGCCAGTAAAGTAAGGATTTTTTATGGCAGTGGATGTTGGAAAGTAGATCATTTTGATCCCTATATTTGTTATCCAAAAAGAGTATCCTATTTTTACATGGTCCTTCAAGACAAATTCAAGTTACATCATAGAAAAAATATAAAATTTTTAGACTTCTTGTTATTGATTTAAAACTCCAAAATAGTATTTTATAAAGAAAACATTACTATTTAAAGAATTAAAGAATAATAAATTCTGTATCAGATGCATACCTATTTGGGGGAGAAATATGGTCAAAATCAGAGGTCATAAAATAGCAGTTTTCCCCAACTTTGCCCAGAACCAATTTAGTGAGTTACAAACGTTACATATACCATGAAAACTGTATATTTTATAAAGCCCACTAGTCCATGTTACAGGCCCCTTTTTATCAAATTATTAACATCCATCTGAAACATTGTAAATAGCTTCATCTCATCATAACCTTACAACTTTTTTATTTACAAAAATTCTCGGAATTGGGGCATTTTCAATTTGTGAAATGAAATGAAAAATAGTTTTACTCTGGGACTAAAGTCCCCTTAGAATAACAGCAGAGTTCAAAAAATATATACATCAGTCTGCCATGTTGTTATAATACTAATATATACAAAGAATCCTAAGAAAAATACAATATATACAAAAAAGACTGAGAGAAAAATAAAAGTAAAATGGTTCTTATCAATTAACTGTTGGCAAGCAATTATAATTACATTATCTAAAAATTCATACAAGCTTGTGGAAGTTTAAATGTGTAGTAGGTGAAGGAATTGGTGGACATGGTTTGACATATGGAGATAGGTAAAGAGCTCCAAAAGGAGTTAGCATGAATGACAAATGATTTGCTGAAGAAAGTGGTTTTATGGGAGGAGATATGTAAATCTAAAAGTTGAGATCTGGTATTAAGAGAGTGGATAGAGGAACGTAGAGTAAGGAGTTCTAGGATGTTGGGAGGATTTTTGGTTCTGAGGATTTGGAAAAAGAAAATACCAAGAAGGAATTGCTGTCAAAAAGTAGGATAGAGCCACATCAACTCAGTGTATAAGCAGGATTCATGAGAATGCCTGGGGATCCCAAAGATGAATCTTATAAATTAATTCATGGTTCTCTTCAGTCTCTCCTTCAGTCTTGTATATTAGGCCAGTATTATCCGAATCCCTTAGAAACCAAGACAAAGTTAGTAAACCTATCCAATTTTGATGATCAATTTTTAACATAAAAAAAAATTTAATTCTAACATTAAGATGGACCAAATTTATAGTATGGTTATAGTCCTTGGTACAGAATCTTTGTTATCAAATTATTAACATCCACCTTAAACTTTGTGAATAGCTGTGTCTCATCCTAACCTACAACATTTTTGTTTATGAAAATTCTCGGAATTAGAGCGTTTTCAATTTGGAGATCGGCAAACTTTGTCTATTTAATTAGATACTAAAAAATCATGAATACCCAATTGCTTTCCTCTTGAATTGTAAGACAATATAATCATAAAATTGAGAAAAAATATTGGGCCATTTAGCGTGACCTCCACCCCCAATATATCAAAATAAAAAGGTCATATAGGTCAAATGGCCCAATATTTTTAAAGGCCATCATTTTTTTAGATTTTGTGATCAAATCATGTTGCGATTCATATGGATAGTAAATGGGTATTTATGAGTTTTCAGCACCTCATTAAAATGATTAAATCAAGGAGTAAATGCCCCATTTCTGAGAATTTTCATAGATAGAAAATTTGTAGGTTACAATAAGATGAAGCCATTCCCCAAGTTTCAGGTGGATGTTAATAATTTGATAAAAAGGGATCTGTACCAAGGAGTACACTCTCTTATACAATAATTCTGCTTACAGTTTATTACCATTATAAAATAAAAGAAAAAACTTCAAAAATAAATCCTGAATCTACTACTGATATTTAGTAAGATAATTAAAAACTTATGTAAGTACTGTAAATGCTGAAAGATTATAACAAATACAAAAGCAAGAATATTAAGGACAGTGTGACGATACATAATATGTTTTGATAAATGAAATAAATATATGTAAGTAATTAATTAAATATATGGTATGAAAGATATGGTGATATGACCCTTTCAGTTGATAGAATGTATAACTCCAATTTCAACATTTTTGATTAGTAATTTTAGTAATGTTTCTCGTGGGAAAATATATACCTTTACTCCACAGTTCTATATTTCAACACTACAATCACCTAATCTAGAATCAACTTACTCACTGTCTTTACAGATGTTATAAATTTCCCAATTAGAAATATCACTAAAATTACTTTACTCAAAAATGTTGAAATTGGAGTTAGTCAATCTGTCAACTAAAAGACTCATATATAGTTATAAAGTAATGATGAGACTGTAATGGAAAAAGATATGAAGCAATATAAGTCAAAGGAATGAGTCGTAAAACATACACTGTTGTGGTGATAAGTAGAAGTTAATATCACATAATGAAAAAATAAATAAGAATAAGAATAGAAAAAAATAGTTTAGTTTATATTTTTCTGACTGGATAAGTAATGTACATTTTCTGAAAATTTTGAGTTCTAGTCAAAAAATATGTATCGAGATATCGCCAAGGTATAGGTGTGTTTATTTAGTGACTGAATCTCAAGATCCTCACACAGTCAAAATATATGTAATATATTATTATTATTAAAACAATATATATATCAGACCTGAACAAAATGTTTTTTTACTTTTGCTTTATTTTTTTAATGCAAAATTTTTAAAATGCAGTGTTTAAAATACAATGTATTTTAATTACAATATATTTAAGTTGTTTTCAGAAAATGTATTTCAAATAAACAATACTAACAGTACTTTTAATTAAAAAAACAAAATGGAAGTACAAAATACTTTCTGCTGCACCATCAGCATATAATACAGAGAATCGACTTTATTTGATATTTTATTTAGTGTATTTAAAGTACTAAATAAAATACATTTTTTTAAATTTTAATATCTTAGAAATAAAATACAAACACTTCTTTTGTATTTTAAAAATAAAATACAGTTATAAACAATCTATTTTATATTTTACTTTTTAAAATGCAAAATACAAGAAATGTATTTTATTTTGCATTTTAAAAAACTTTATTTGAAATACTACAAGGTAAAGATAATTACTCAATTTTATTTAAGTTTATTTGTCATCTATACTCTCAACCGGAGTACCTGTGTTTTGAGCATAAATAACTACAATATATTATTACTAAGCTTCAATTTTTTTCTATTTTTTTCTATTTCCAAGGGGGTGTAGAGGGGGTTCCTAATTCTAATTTTTATGTTTTCTTGAAAAAAATGCAAGCAATTGATGTGCTTAATTTTTAGATGTGTTAATATGTAATATTGCACTATTACCTTACATTGATATTAAAGTCTTCTTAGTAATGAAAACTGTATTAAAATGCAATACAGAAGCATTTGGAAATTTATAAAATATTTTGTACCCTACCATTTTTTTCTGTGAAGAAGGTATTATTTATAAGGAATTGGATATTTTCTTTCAGGAATAGCCATGATGGGACAGGTAAATCCTTATACGACAAGACCTAGAGAACATTAATGCCAATTTAAAGTAATTGCTTATTATTATTAATTAAAGTTTTTAATTTTTTTTTTTAAACTTTTATTATGATATTTACAACTGTATTAGTATGAATACATCAAGTAAATGTGTACAGAGGAATATTATCACATGAAACACACTTGTTGAGAAACTACCCATTGGTAGCACTCTAATAATTTGTCTACATGAGAAGATCACGAGGCCATCTTCTTTTCAGACGCCTCGGAGGGTTATCAGGAATCGAAGAGGAGGCAAGGTTAGAAACAAGAGGATACGGATGTTTATGAAGTTTATTATGGAAGGATAAGGTATCTGGATTTGGCCAAATCGGAAGCATATGGAACATTGAGGTCTTTATGGATTATTTTATTTGTGACAAAGTAAGGAGCATTGAGGATTTTACGAAGGATTTTGGATTGTAAAGATAGGATACGAGAAGAATTTCATGGTTTAGTGGAGCCCCATAGCTCAACTCCATAAGTCCGAATAGGTCTTATTATAGTCATGTATATGAGTCGTTTGTAATTCATTGGAAGTTTAGAGCGTTTGTCCAGTAAGTGTTGGAGTAAGCGGAAATGTCGAGCAGTTTCTTGTCGTTTCAGTCTTGTATGAGGATTCCAAGTGAGACGTTTGTCCAGCTGGAGTCCTAGGTATAGGATTTGTTCTACAGGGATAAGTGGGGTGTTATTAAAGGATACTATAGGACAGCAAGTCATTGGTTTACGACGAAGGGTAAAGCTGATTTGATGGGATTTATTTTAATCCTCCATTTTTGACACCATTCTTCAAGGTTTGTGATGTGTGATTGAAGAGTTTGGGATGCAATTGTTGGATCATTATTAACTGACAGGATACATGTGTCATCAGCATACGTTGTGATGACAGTGTTAAGATGGGTTGGGATATCAGCTGTATAAACTGTGTAAAGGATAGAACCAAGGATACTACCTTGAGGAACTCCGGCAGATTGAGAAAAGAGGGATGAATAGGTATTATTGTGATTTACTTTGAAGTGCCTATCAGTAAGATAGGAACTGATGATAAGAAAATATGTCGGGGAAAGGAATTTACGGAGTTTCTAAAGCAATCCCGGATGCCAGACTCGATCAAACGCCTGTTCAAAGTCGAGAAAAACTCCAGTGCAATACATTCCGCGCTCCAATGCAGAGGAGACAACGTCTACCACACGATGACATTGCTGGATAGTGGAATGGGATGTGCGGAATCGGTGATTAGAATCTAGGATGGGATACAGGCGTTTTAAGATGAGCTTCTCCAGGATTTTGCCCATGATGGGTAAAAGAGAGATAGGACGGTAAGAGGATGAGTATTCTGGTGGCTTTTTGGGTTTATGTATCATTTTGACTACAGATAGTTTCCAAGGGTCAGGAAAATATGTGGAACGGAGTACGGCGTTATAATTGTAAGTAAGGAATAGAATGGCTTTTCGAGGAAGTAGTTTAAGAATGTGGGAAGTGATTAGGTCGTGGCCAGGTGCTTTGCGGGAGGGTAATCTGTTAATAATATTGGATATTTCTGAAGGATGAAATGCTTTAGGAGGAGGAGTCATTTGGAGTGGAATATCCAGTTCTGTTTCAATACATTCAAGCTAATTTGGATTAAGGATATCAGGATGTGGATTAAAAGTTTTGAAGAGGTGATGAGCAAAAATTTGGTATTTTTCTTCATCAGATTTGGACCAAGTTTGAGCTTCAGTAAGAAGTGGATGATTAAAGTCTTTAAATTTCAGGAGCCGTTTATTCGTCGTCCACAGTGATTTGTCGGTAGGTGTAAGTTTTTCAGTAAAATTTAGTAAATTTTGAATTTTGTATTTTCTAATTTCTGATTTTAGTTTGTTAGTCAGTTGGGTATAATGAGTTTTATCTGTTGGATATCTAATTCTATGACACTTCGATCTTGCTCTGCGTTTTTCCTTTAATAAGATACTAATATGCTGTGGCAAGTTAGTCTTTTGTAAATTGTTAAAGGTGTTACTGTTTATACTGTCTGTTATTGATGTTGTAAGTTTTTCTATGGCACCATTAATGTCTTCTTTTGTCTTAAGCGCAATTTTCAAGTCTAGTTTGTTTTCCAAGTCATCACAAAATTTGTCCCAGTTTACTCGTCCTGTAATCAATTTAGGAGATGATGGTCATGAAAACATAAATATTAAACTTGGGAACATTTAGTAGGTCACTTAATATAATAAGGATCAATTCCCATGATAAAGATCTGTTTAAAAACAGTATCACTTTAGATGATGCATTTTTGAAAAAAGTGTATTTTTTACTTATTTTTTTATAAATAAATATTTTATTTGCATGATTATTCTATCGCAATACATCCCAGGTCACAGAAAATAAATTAAGAAGTCAAAGCTTTGTAATAATTTATTGTAGTTATTTTTTAATAACTTTTTAAACTTGGTTAATGTTTTCATTAATATGAAATCCTGAAATTTAAAGCGTAACAGAAAGGTATATAATATTCCATATCATTGCAGGTTGATTGACATAATTGTGAGTTGGTGAATGATATAATGCTCTGATAATATTTAGAAAAAGCTGTCTTCCCTACACAATATCAACTACTGTTTCCTGTATCACTAGTAGTGTTCCTGTTCCTGTATAGTAGTGAAAATATCCAGCATCTTTAAAAAATCTTATTATTTAGATTTCAGAACTGAAAAAGCAAAGGAAAGGCAGATAAAAATTATTTGCTCAGAGCATGCATCTGCTATCATAAAATCTGGTCTAATAGACAATATATTATAAATATACCATAAATATGTTATACTGTCTTCTTCAAATTTTTAAACTTATTTCAAATATGCCTATTTGTATGTATCAGAGGTAAATAAATCATCGACTTTGAATTTTTTTTTTTTTTTAATTCCTTTTTAAGAACCCTCTCAAACACTAAAATATAAAGAGAACTGTACCTTTTAAAGTAAGTTGTTGTACAGGTATTCAGTCCATTAGCAGTAGGCATTGGTTTCACCCAAGTCAAGGGTATACTCTCTCATTACAGTTCTCACCTTCCTGCATCCAACAGAGAGGGGAGGGCAGTTGGGGATCAAGCCCTCAAATGGGCTCAGTCCATTCAATCAGGTTTTATTTTTTACGTTCTAATTTTTACAATACTATAAAAATAATACATATTTTATTTATATAATAATTACATAACAGCTATACATGGTATTTTTCTAACATATATTATGCAGAAAAGGTTGGGTTTCAGTCGTGGATTTAATATCTGATGGGTGCTCAAGAAAATTAGTTCTTAGGACCCTCGATTTCTCTTCATGGAAGACAGAAGCGGATAACAGACCACATAATATGAGTATTTTCCATTTATTTTTATTAACAATTAAAACCAATTTCAAAAATTAATATTAAGTAATTATAAAACATATATATATATTTTTTTAGAAATAATGAATGTAAGCAAAACACAAAATGTTATTTCATAGCATATTAATGTTTCACACATTCATTATGATTGACAAAATTATCGAATATAATAAAAATTAACAAAGCATTTATCAAATATTAAAAACAAGTGTTTCACAATTGTCTTAGTGTGATAAGGATTTTATCTATGATGTCTTCTTCTGCGAGGTGATTCATAAGAAGACTCGCTGCTACTCGAGCAACTGCAAGAACTACTTTCTCCACACCAAGTACAACCGCAATAATGTTCACAATCACTGCAACTGCAACTGGTGCTATCATCTCCCGAACTGTCATAGCTTTCATCTGATTCTGTAAAATATTATAAAATATATTATCATTATTACTATGAAATATTAAAACATATATTATAATATAATATCAAATATTATTTAATGATTAAATAATTTTTTAAATTGTGAAATGTTCCTTTGGAAAATGTTTTTAAGTTTTAAATTATTGATGTGTATATCATGTCCTTTAATTATTTTAAACAGGAATATTTTACTTTAGTCTTAAAATTAAGTTGTTGGAAAAATATTAGGATAATAATTGAGAATTCATTAGGATATATTGAAAAGGCTATTAGTCTCTCAAACAGCAGTAAATATCTGTGTAGTTTCACTATTTTGTCAATTCAGGCATTACCAAGACTGGAAAACATGAAATACCATAAATAGAGAACATAGGGGTGTCCAGAAGGGGGTTTTATGGTGCAAGCATTTCATTTCATTTCATCAAAATTTTTGAGGATGTCATATTCTGATTGGTTTTTGAATTTTTGAGGGTGGTACATTTCAACGGGGCTTATGAATTTTCGGAAAGAGAAATTTCAGAATAAGGGACAAGTGGAAAACATGGAACAGATGGCAGTGTAATTGTATGTGATCTACGATTTTTCTAATTTTACTTTCCTTTGTTCTTTTTTTAGAAAATGTGAGCAATAAAATATCCTGGGAGCAGAGGGGAGAAGAGGATGTTCTTGTGACATGGACCTTGGGGGGATGAGCTTACCTGGGAGAATATAAATATCATATCTTACAACAACAGTCAAAATAATACTTGTTTAAGGTGAAGCCTGCATTAATGATAATCCACATTATCGAAATGCACAGTGCTATCATTGTATTGGAATAATATTCTATTTGTCAGGGATACCAGTAATGTAAAAAAAAAAAAGGTCTGAAATGATGAAAAATGAAAGATTTGAAAATAACATTACACTGCAGTTGTGATTGATTATTGTTAATATAAAATGAAAATACATAAGGGTCATTCTATGAAAAGTAGACTTTTCTTATAAGAAAAAAAGGGGGAAAAATGTTTTCCCTTATGAGAGTAAGGTACCTAGTAAAGTCTCTAACGGGCTACATAGAACTATTGGTTTTGGAATAATGTCGAATTAAATTTTTGGAGGATTTAGATAAATGACCAACCATCCAGATGAGTGAAATTAAATATACATTAATATTTAGGAGTAATGAAAAAAATATAAAATTAAAATTTAAAAAAATATTAATAACTCTCTAAATAACATTAAAAAATACATTATAACATGTTGGAGAGCTGAAATTTCTAATCATGTATAGCAGCAAAAAGGTTGAAAGTGACAAAATCGCCACAGAAAGTTTCACACAGGCCAATAATAATTCAAGAAAAGGAGATTTAACAGCCCTAGTTGGAATAGATGAGGACTTTCTCTGGTCCTACAGTATGGCTATGTTTATTATATAAATTTTATTTAATACATATATATGTTTATTACAGTGCTGAATAAACAAACAAATATATAGATAGATTATAACTGTAATTTGTAAAAATTGTCTTACCATCTGAGCTATCTGAAGACATATAACCACCTGAAACAGAGCAAATGGCATAAGAAATATTTCTCATAATTTGATGGGTATATTTTTATTTATTTATAATTATTTTATGAATAATTCAAGTTTCAGATTAAATTATTCTAAATGTAATTCTTACATGCAATCGTCTGTTTTTTATTTTTAGGTGCAGGGCTCGCTTTTCCATGCTTTTTGTTTTCTGGCTTAGAGGTTTCATTTTTTCTCGAATGTTTTTTTTTATTTTCCATTTCTAATTTTTCATGTTTAATTTTGTTAGGTTTGGCTTCTAAAGTTAAATCTATCGAGTTTGGTGAAGACTTTTCTTGTTTGATTTTTATTTTCCCTTGATTTGGTATATTATTACTTCCACCAGTTAATGAGTCCTTTTTAACTTTATTAGAAGGTAAACTTTTTTTAGATTTCACGGTAGCTGCTTTCTTTTTAGAAAGAGATAAATTAGTTTCTGGTGGCAGAGTAATGTTTATTTTTGAAGCCCTGTTTGCATCTTTAACAATCTCAATTGAACAAGATTGGGAAACCAAAACCTCTGATTCACTTTGATCGAAATCAACACTACCGATTGTATGGTCAACAGCCTCAATTGTGTTATTAATGTCAGAAACCCCATGACTTGTGCTTGGCATATTTAATAATTCTTCAACTTTTTCTTTGAGTAATGCCTCCTTGGAATTTGTTTCATAATCACAAGGAATGCCTATATTGACATTCAAATTGTTTTCGGGTATAATATTTTCTCTAATAGATGCTTCAGTGTGCTCAACATTTTCTTGTTTTTTATTTCCTTCCATTTTTTTTCTAACAACTTTTGTCCCTGTTGTTTTCTTTGGAGCAACATTTTTTTTTGGAGCTTTTGTCTTAATATTGACTTGAGTTCCTTTTGTTTTTGTTTTCGTTGCACCTTTAGGTGCTCTTTTCTTTACTTCTTGTTTAGGAGGCACATTTAGTATTTTTCCTTTACCTTCCTCTGGAAGGGTTGGCAAAGTTATATTTCCTACCTTCTTCCTTCTAGCTGTCTGTGTGGAACTGATCATGGATGCCTCTAGTTCTCCTACAGTTTGGTTGGATGAAGAATCAGAAACTAATGAAGAATTTTGAGAAGTTATATACGTAGAATTTAGCTGACTTTCAAAAGTGCTATTAGTACCTCCACTCTCTGAACTGCTGTTTAGATTTGTGTTATTGTGGGAAGAATTGAGAAGAACTTGGCGGTTAAAATCATTCCCAACTTGGCTTGCAGCCTTAGGCAGAAGAACAGCACTTTGAATAGAACTATAATTGATGGAATTTTCACTTGACCCTGAAAGAAATGATTCGTTTTGTAAAATAGACTGTTTGCGTTTCCTCCCATTGCCTTTAGACTTTGATGTATTGTTCTTAGAAAGTTTTTCACTAGTTGTTATATTTTCAGGAGCGAATTCTTCATGTTCCCATGCAGCTAAAGTATCAGCTATAATTGATTCTTGCGTTGGTACAGTACTATTTGATGCTCTGTTAAGGTTGCTTCCGAAAGTTAATTCAGACATGACTGTATAGTTAAGTTCTTCTGTTTGATTTTGTGTTATGTCAAATACTGATGTTGATGCTGATATTTCAGATGTATTCCATTCAAGGGGAGTCTCTTTCCCAGTATCCCTATATCCAGAAACAGAATATAATTAATATAAATTTTTATAATGAAATAATTATGTAGTTAGAATAAGTATTATTAATAATTATTATAAATATTTTATTGTATTTGATATAGTTTTATCATATTTTAATTTAAAGAAAGTATTGTTTTAACCAGATAATTATATTTATTATACAATAAAGCCATCATTTATGACATATTTTCATTAAAATATTTTATACATTTTGGTTTTATTTGGTACTAATAATTATTTTTTATCATAGTTAATAGAATGTGTGGAACAGAAAAGAAAATGCTTTTATATATTTTCATGGTTATATATTTTTTTCCTCAGTCCTGATGGAGGCTTAAAATTTAGATTGAAACATCAGTATAAATTAAATATAAGATTACATTTACTGTATTTTAAGCTTAAAATTAAACAATCTATATACTGGTACTGGTACTAGGGGGGGGGGGGGATTAGTCTGGCAAGTGGGCACTATTGCGGTCCTTTTTTCCAACACCTAACTAACCTTAAAACTGATGCCGAGTACCTGCCAGACTGAGAATGTTTGAGAGGCAGGGTGGCCAAGCGGGCCAACGCATGTGCACAGCACTGGCATCCGGTGGGACCTTCAATTCAGCATAATTCCTCCGCCCTCTCCCATGGCCCAGGAAAAACTAAGGAAGGGGAGACAAAAAAAAAAAATAAATAAATAAAAGAAATGGGAATGTCATGAGACCCTTCTCCTGGGGCCACCGAGAAATGAAAATTAACACTTTCGAAAAAGAACCAGGCATTCTGGGACCCAAGCTCCAATGTGTTCTGCCATCCCATCCTCTAATAATCTATATAGCAACAATACATACATAAATATTTATTTTCCATATCAATAATGATTGTTAGATTTAATACCGGTTATATATATATGTAACCGGTAATATATATATACCGGTAATATATATATATATTTATACCTTTTGAATGATTACTTTTAAGAGGAATACTTTATATAGAAATTATAAATAAAATTATTGTAATTAATTTTATCAGATTATAAGATTGAATATTTTTTGGAAAATTTATTAAGTGTTTAAATTAATGTTAGTTGTGAATTTTTTTTTCTGTTGTAACAGAAATGAAATATATTTATTGTTTATGTATGCTTACAAATATTTTAAAATAAGAAGTTACATCAAGATTGTATAACCAGTAACAATAATTATTATAATTAACTAAATTTGAAAATTGTCTAAATATCATCTTAATAGGAAAAATATAAGTGTTTTTGGTTCTTAAACTACCTAACTTTTGTAATACTATTAGATTAATTAAAAAATGTATAATGAAAACCATGAAAAAAATCTTAATAATTAAATGTAAAGAATAGACAAAGTCTAAAATTTTGTTTTATGTTGATGAATTATTAATTTTTTTGTTACTTCAACAAAATTAGCAGTGCAATCCTACAAAATATATTATAATTTATTTATGGCTATGACATATATAGTTACACATGTAGTACTTCTATTTTATTATGGTAATAAAAATATATTACTATTATTATCAATGAAATCTGAACCATATTTATGAAAAGTTTATTTAGTTTAGAACTAAATCTATATTTACTACGCTACCATGAGCATCATATTATTATTGAGCATTTATAAGTTATTTGGATTAAATTTTATCTCTACAGATATTAGATGATTATCTTATATTTGTTTTTCATAATGTGTTTTGAATATGGAATAGATCTAAAAGAAAAAAACATTAACTGAAGTAATATCCTGTTTTATTACTAATACCAAAAGAATCAGTAAGCATGCTGTAAAATGTACGTTTATTAACAAACCAGTAAATTAACTAATTATTACTTAGTATTTTGTCGACAGCCACGCTGAAAAACCTGTAAGTGTAAAATAAAAAATATTTGTAAAACAAAATAAAGGTACTTTTTTGTGAATTAGATTTTCTGTTAAATTTTTACTGTATCTAATTAACTTTAGGAAAATGTATGTAATGTTTTTATTTTCCATTTTTGAATATGCAAAAGGCTAAGATTGCTTGGAAAAGCTCAAAATTGCACTTTCTAATTAACACACAATTACAGGCTTCCACACTGTGGCTGACGATATTCTGGCAAAATATTAAATACAATTTCTATGAATTAAATTTTTCAAGAATAATAATTAGATATAGAATTATTTTATCCAAATTCTAAATTAAATATTGCATTCACATAATTAAATATTTGAATTAACTACAGAAACAATTTTAAGTTGTTTTTTTATTTAAAATAATATCTGACTATTTATTTATTTGAAAAATAAAGAACATTCAAATTTGGTGTATTGCAAATGAATTTAAGAAAAAAATTTCATTAAAAGCAAAATTAAATAATAACTTACATACAGTTTTACTCAGCTTCTTGAAGAATAGTGTTTTAGTATAAGCTTTTGTAAGGATTTTTGAGTTCAAAGGTTTCTGTGTTCTAAACTTTTTGTTTCTAACATACCTAACCCAACACCTTTGATGTAAATAAATCAGAAAATTATCATTACATCATTAAATTTAAAGTATATTATATTTACAAATGGTAGTTGAAATAAATAATTATTAAAATGAAAGTAATAACTGTTATTAGTATGGCCAATATTATTCCTGATTAATAGAACATAATATATTAATTTTATTAATAGTTTGTTCATCAAATATGAACATAATATATAAATATAATAATGAGTCAGCTTGAAGTTTGGAAAACATCTTGTATATAAAGATTAATTAATGCTATAATATTTTAAGAATAGGTTCAGTTCATAAAGAGTTTTCTATTAATTATTTCAATTAATTATTTTTGTACCAATAAAATATTTTCTTTAGAAAAATATCAATTAATAAAAGTAACTTATAAAAAAAATTAAGTAGATTTAATTTTAAATTCTTATTATCATAATAATAATTGAATTTATATAGTATATTTCATTATATTCGGCAAGTTTTTAAACTGAACACTAAGCTCATTGATGGAATCCATCTCTAAACTGGAAGAAACAATGGCATCGATGGGCAAATATCAAATATATATAAATTGTCAATTCTTGATTTCGAATGCACACACACTCATCTACATGCACATTTTTCAAGACTTGATTATTTGGACTCAGGTGATCTCAAAATGTGTATTTCCATTGAAAAATGGGATTTGAAACTTTTCAGGGTTGCAATACTTTTCTGTACCTTATTTCATGTACAGGTAAGTGAAAGTAACAACACTTTTCCCTACTATATATTTCATGTACAGGTAAATGAAACTATCATTATTTGCCCTTACTCTATGTTTCTTGTATAGCTAAGTGAAAGTAATACATTTTTTTAATTTCTTTTTCGTGCTTCCCTTCCTTGCCTTTTAGGCTGCACAGAATTTTTCCCGGTCCAGGGGAGAAGACGGGGAACTATGCCCAGCTAAAATTTCCACCGGGATTTTAACTTTCATTAATTTAGTTAATATCTGTACCACTTGAACCCATGGAGGGTATTGGGTTCAATACTTGAGCTGATTTAGGTTAAGTACTGTTTCGAGGTCAATGGTTGTGCAGTGAGCAGATTGGACCAAGATCACTATCAACTGCCAGGTTTTCTCCCTTAATTAATTATTTTAAATAAGATTCCCACTTTGTAGAGGCTGGGTCATCCTCAGGAGGTTCTCTCTACCCCAGGGTCGCCCCATGGCTGATGGAACAGAATAAATAATTCTTCTGCCATGAGCCCGGATTCGAGGACCTGGGAACTTGAGCATTGGAAGTTGAGTGCCCAACCACTGAGCTACCCCTCTCCCCTATTTAGTAATAATAAACTTTTATTTTGTCTTTCCCTTCCCGTTATGTCTTTACCTTTTAGGCTATTCGGGTGTTTTCTCAGACCAGGGGACAGGAAAAGGGATTAAGACCTGTTAAAAGCCCTCTCCCCTCCCCCCCCCCTCGAGTAAGAAGACGTAAACTTGTAATTATTCTGTCATTTAGCCTTGTTTATTCACGTTTCCGCGAGTGTTTTGAACCCTCGTCAGCCCGTCCCCAAGTAATAATAAATTGAAAGCATAAGAAATAGATAAATACAAGTCTTTCCAGGAAGAGTAAAGGTTTCTACAAACAAGACGCGATATGTCTCGGTAATACGATACCCTTTGTCGGTTTCGCTGCGGATTATTGCACTCTGTGTGACTATTATAGTGGAATAAAATGTAACACAGCTATATCGCCGTCTCGGCGGCGACAGGAATATCTTATCGCCCAGACATATCGCACTCTGTTTATTGGAGCCTTAAAACCTTATTATGCTGCTCCTTATTTCAGCTCTCGCTCTCTTCCAATAAAATTTAACATTTTATAACAATATTTAGCAATAAATATCATCATCTTCATCTTAAAACAATGACTGATTTTACTGACTTAATTAAGGTAAAGAAGCAGACTTTTTTTTTTTCTTAAACTATAAAACAATTTCGTTTTGAATTTGTAATTATCTAAAGTTCCAGGAAAAGTGGCCCCTTTTTCTCACTCTAGTTCCGACATTGACTGAAAGGACAACCCTATCCCCAAGGGGAATACAAGAAATCAAAGAATCTAGGACATGTGTCAGTGTATGGCAAAGATGGGCAAATGCTACTCCGAGTATCGAGTACCATGTATTTACTCAAATACTGATCTTTTTTGGGTACCAAAGTATTTAATTACTACTTCAGTTGGTGTCATAGGATTAACTGAAGTGATTGAATTCACAACAGTAATTCAATTTGTGTAAAATACTTGGTACTCAGTACTCAGAGTAGCATTTGCCCATCTCAGGTGTATGGACAGTTGTAGGAACAGTATCTAAAGACTTGCTTCCATATTTTTGCTATCTCTTTGGTTTGATAGAAGAAAAGGGTGCAATGGAAGTAGGGAGTGATTCGCTCCATTTAAAAGCCGGTAATAAACGTCAAATTGATGGTTATAATAGGGTGTATAAAAAAAATAACCGTTTTCCAACCAAATATTTGTATTATCATTTCTTTGATGATGTAGTTAAAATAAAGGGCAACGTATTGGAGGAATTTTCTACTAGAAGTGGTGTAAGACAGGGTGATGCACTGGCATGCCTCCTCTTTCTCTTGGCCCTAGAAAAAGCAGTTCGTTCGTAGAGTTCAGAATTCGTAGAGCATCCAACAGGAACAAATTTGTGATTAATAACACCTTCAAAATTCCTAAAAAACGTAAATCATGGATTTTTTTTTTAATTGCTCCCTTGCAGCAACCGGAAAAGCAGTTTGACCGCGATCTAGCCATTGTTCAAAGTTTTCGGATTTCATCAGTAAAGCCCCTTTTCATCACAGGTGACAATCTTTCAGTAAAATCTCACATCAGAAGGGTTTTCAATAAATTTTCACAAAGTTCTAATCTCTTAGCTGATTGCTGAAGAGTAAGTTCGTGAGGGACCAGTTTACTACTCCTTTTCACTTTCTCCTTGGAGTAGAGTAGATGGTAACTAACAGTATCTTTCGACACACCACACTCTCTGACAAGGGCGGATCTACGGGGGGGGGGAGGGCTTTCGGGCTGAAGCCCCCCCCAAAATGGTAAAATATAACCATGTTTTATCGAAAAAAATATTTAAAAAGTATCTCTTAAAGTATTATTTTTGGTGTAATTACATTTAAAAGGGCTTCAGGGATCACTTAAACAGCATTTCATATAGGTAGTTAGTTTCTTTATTTTTTTCCAAACTAATTATCGTTATTTATATGAAAAAAACAACTTTCGGGCTTAAGCCCCCCCCCAAAAAAATAAATCCTGGATCCGCTAGTGCTCTCTGGCAAGTTCGCGAGTACTTGTGGATGGATTTGACTCAACAGCTTCCTGCAGGACCTCATCGATATCCATTAATGGTCACCCGCAGCTCTTCTTCCTTTCCAACATTGTATATCCACTGCTAAATTTTTCAAACCAACGCCACGCAATGCGCTGGTCGAGGACACCTATCCCTTCATATTTACTAATTTCAGGAGTTCCTTCAGCGGCTGTGAAATTTCTTTTCCAGTAATGCCTTAAAATTATGACAATTTCGTAGGACCCTTTTTCTTTGAAACAAATAAGTAAACTGAGGCTATTTTTGAAGAAGTAGAATGGGATTAAACGAGCTTAGAGGATGTTCTAAAGGGATTATTAAGTATTGGTAAGTATTAAATAGGATTAAAACATTTACAGTCCTTTGGAATTTTTGAATTTTGATGAAACGGTAATTTGCTAATTTTTAATTACTTTGTTGGAAGTATAAAATTCACATGAATATGAAAGTAATTGTAATTCACTAATATTTTGAAGTATTAGTTGGATAATTCGTATCATAAACACGTTTATTTTCTTTGAAATTTTAGTACCCGTGAAGTTAGGAAGGGTCTTGTGGCTGTGAAGGGGGGGGTTCAATTTAAATTAAAAGTAATTTCTGTTATTTTTTATAAAATTGTCTTAATGTTTCCATTGTTTTGTAAGATGGATAACGTCTATTCATATTACTTTAATTTATTTTAAGATATATCAATAAAAATATATTTCTTATTGATATTTTAAAAATTATGGTTTTATTAGCGCACTCTATGATGTGCGCTCACAAGTTTTATTTCAGTCACTTATATTGTGCTCGATTCTGGTTAGTTTGTTTATGATTGTTATCGGTCCGTTCAGTGATAAGTGTCAATTGAGTTAAACTTTTAACAGAATAATATTATCTCTGTGATTGTGAAATTTTGGTGATAATTCTTGAATTAACAGTGCTTTTAAGTGATTTTGTTTGCTTTTTTATTTTTTTCCCAAGCACTTTTAGTGAAGCAGATATTTTATAGTGTAATGTTACGTGGGAGGTTTAAAATATTTTATCTTTAATTTAAAATCACCTTAAATATTTTCATCTATTCTAACTCATTAGAAATGTATAAATAAAGCTGTAGGTTATGCTTCAAAATATATTATTTTCCCGGAAGGTTATATGGTTTTCATCAATTATGAGGATTTAAATGAATTATCTGTTGGTTGTTGGAAGAATTTCTTGTTCAATGCCTGAAATACTGTTAGTTTGAGTTATTTTGTGGAAATTGAAAATTTGAAGAAATGTGTAGTGTTTATTATTTGAACTATTAATTCAGCTCTTGGTTGATATGCAGTGGTTCTAGCTTTTCAATAAGTCTCTCTGTCTTGAGAAAAACTTGTGTTGGATGAAATGGGTTATTAAATCTGACTGTTAGGTGGTATAATTTAAAATCTATATTGTTTTTATAATTTAATGGCACTTAAGTAATAAGCTATGTACTGTGTACATTGCAAGCATATTTCAGACAGGTTGCTTAGTTCATGTCAGTTGATTTTTACCAAAGTTATTGTATTGTTGAATTTGTCCTGATATGTGATCTGCACACATTCCTC